CTCATAAGTAACCGGTACAAAACAGTACCAATTTTTGTTTTGGCTGCTGATATGCTGCCGAACTGTCAGCATGGGTGTTTTCTGGGGCGATGACGATGCCTTGGAATGACGCTCAGAGACTTCACAGTAATATCTGACATATTATTGTTCAATATGGCAGCTACACCTTTGCCAGTCCAAATCGGCGACAGTGTAAAGCAAAGTGGAACGTCCCGTAATTAATTTTTTTAATTTTTGAAATTTATTTTTTTAGAAAAAGCCTGTCATGCAAAGTTGATTTAGTGTAGTGCAAAACTTTACGTGCCGTACTCCATAGGTTTGCTACGAATAGCTGCCGCCACTGACAACGCACAGTGGCGCGCCATCTTGTTAACCAAGCGCAGATCCATACATGGAAGCTATGCTCTGCAGCGTTTTCAAGCAGCTGCATCCGGCGCTCTGTTTTCTGGGCAAGCGGACGATGTTGAACTGAGCGCTGACTGGGAAAAACAACGCAAGGCAAGCCACTGAGTGTTTGTAAGTGGATGGAGCAGATCCACCAAATCTGGTGCTTGCATGGCAGCGGCGCGAGTGAGTGGCCACCCGGGAGGGGCGCGTGAACGACATACAGCCGACGCCCTCTGGGTCTTTCCTCCATTCCTTCCTCGCCCCAGTCCAACAGCCACATACACAGCAGCCATGGCGACCAAGAGCGTACGCTGGTCCACCGTCACCGTCTACGAGTTCGGCGTGGGCATCGGCGGCAGCGCAGTGCCTCGACGCGGTGGTCCAGCGGTGGGGCTGGCTCGAACCCCGCAATGTGTGTGGAGGACTTCAGTGAACGCGGCGCAGCATCAGCGGGAGAAAACAGCGGCGGGGGACAGGCAGGAAACCGCAGGACGACATCGGCGGAGACGCGTGCGCTGGTTCAAGCCGCTGGAGCGCATCACGATGCTGGAGAAGGCAGGCTACAGCGAGGAGCGTATCTTCCGCTCAATGCTCATGGAGTCGTCCAGCATCGCCCAGTCGCGACGGCTCTGTCTGCGTGTCGAGTGTGTGGCCTAAGTTGCATTTTGCACGTGTCGACGACGACCGAGGTAGCATAAAATGGAATTTTAACGCGGGGGTGCCGGGTACGATGGTGCTCGGAAGGAAGAAGCAAAGGGCGAAGACAGGATGGACTTTTTTTAACTTGTTTTGATGCCGACCACCAGTTAGCTCTGCACTAAATCGCCATTGCTCTAAAGTCAATTTTTGAAAATAAAAATTAAAAATTTCTTTGTCACTTAAGTTACTTCACACAGCTTTGCTTTACACTGTCGCCGATTTGGACTGGCAAAGGTGTAGATGCTCTTGCTTGCAGGGCCCAAGGGCTTCACAGCAATATCTGATATTTTAGGGCCGTTAATAGCTTCTGGATGCTCGTTCACGGGATGCTGGGCAAGCTAAATTTTGAAAAAGTAAGTCACGAAATGTTTTTTATAGGTTGTGGTACAAGCCCGTAATAAAATAAATAATTCCGGATACCGACATAATTTTTTGCGGGACCCCGGGCTGTTTTAAATGATAGCATGGCTGGCGCATGAATCTCTACTAGGTAAAGGATAGCTGATCCTATTGGGGCCAATCACATTTAGCTTTCATTCCCAAATTTAGAAGCTCTCAAACGCACTCCAACATTGGCCGATTACTATTGGGTTTTGCTCCTGTTACTCAGCTTATTGCGCCTTTCAAGTTTTTTTTTCGTGCGCTTGCTCATTGTCGTCCATAAAGCTAGTCGTCCTGGTTTCGGATGTTTCTTAGCACCCTTGTACACTTCCTAAACGTCGAAAACGCCGGCGACTGCACTCTTATTCCGGATTACGTTCATAAGGCACAGGTGCGAAGAGTACCAGCGCGTTGCAACTGGGGCCAAAAAAGAGCGGTCATACGCTCCACGCGGATCACGACGGGCAATCTCAGCCCTTTCTCCCTGAATCGAACTAGAGCAAAGGACACTTCAAGATATACGACGATATCGTCTCGGTCTCGACACTTTTTGCTTCACGACTTCCAACTTTGGAACGTCTTGTAGCAGAAGATTAAGCGTGATAGCAGCACACCCGTTACACAGAACCCCGCGTGACTTTTTTTTCAGGATTCGCCAGGCCTTGTCCGTAATGGCGGCACTACCAGTAATGATTGCTGCCACTTTGTCCGGGCCAAGATTATTTTCAAGCACATCAATATCGTTGCCAAAGAGCCTGGTCATGAAACCCGCGGCCTGAGATTCAACTCCTGTAGCAGTTGTCTTCAAGTACATGGGGTCCATATTTGGAGCAACTGCTACAACATTGATTAGTTTCTTTCGGTGCGTGTTGGCCATCCCGTCAAGCGCTAACCCAATGTACGGTTGATCGCTTAGGACCTCGTACTTTGCCTATACTTTCTCCTCATCACAGATCAAGTAGTGTCCGACCAGCTTCCTTGCGAAAATCATGTTGTGTGAGGAATTAAAGCTATGTGCGGGATGTTTTTCAAGACCCAGAAAGCAGGGCCTTTGGCCCTGATTTCTCCTAAACCATTGGAATAAAATAGCTTGCAGTACTGCTCTAATAATATTAGAACAGTACTGCAAGTAAATTAAGTCTAGGTTTTTACCAGTATATCATATTATGATATACTGGTAAAAACCTAGACTTAATTTACTTTTCAGCCATCCTGGAATCATCGTTACACTATCAAATAAAATACACCGCCGTCAACAAGAACAACAGCAAGGCGTCAAGGTTTGGTATGAGAAGTGATCAATGTTCAGTTAATTACAAGCTCAAACAGGCAGTACAAACGGGTACTTAGTGGAAACTCGACATGTCATTTACAGTAATATTCTTTTGCATTGATGCGAGCTAAGTTTCATAGCGGCTCAGAAACGGCCTATGACATCGAGCACGACGCAAAGCTAAATATATTGTGTTGGCGTTTGTAGACATGCTATTTTGAAGTGCAAAGTATTCTGATAGAGATAGCCCACCAATAATAAAGAGACTGTGTCAAGATCACAACATGCTAAAATAATCTTTTTTAAGCATGGTAAGTATGATGCTAGGTGCGTAGGTTTTTGTTGGAATAATTGCACGGCTGACGCAGCATTTTGTAGCGAATGGTCTAAATTAAACCCAGATTTTTGAAATTAAAGAAGTCGACTTAGGCACATAGGGGCTCATAGTTTTTGGAATAATTGTCCACCCGAAGCGAAGCGGAGGCGGGAAGACAAACAACTTGAATAAAAACCAAGCTACCGCCGCGTAGCGGCGGCGCTCGGCTAGTAGTACAGAAAACCCTTCTGTAGTCATAAACCCCGGGCTCAACATGCTATCCCTATATAGGGGTATTTTTTTCGTGGGGTGGCTATGTATCTTCTAAATGGTACACAAATAAAGCCAACGAATAAGTGAGCCCCATCCACTTCACTTTTTGCGTTTGCGGCCCTCTCTGGTTGTTCCACACTCTTCATTTGAGCTAGTGTCATTAAGATGTCAGTCAAACCTATTAACAAGCCAACCCGCATCACGTTAACCAATGCGATTACTTAAATATAGCGAAGCAGATTTGCCAGCATCTTGTCACCCAATTCCTTCTATTGCAACAACAGCTTAGCCGAGTGGGCTCATGAAATCTTGTCGCTGCCACAGCGGCCATCTCAAGGAACAGCCTAGCTACTGGAGCGTAGTAAGGGACTAACTATCAAGTCAAGACATTATGATACGGCTTTACAGGTTCAACCTTTCGGTCAAAAAGAAGGACACAACACGAATGACAATTGCAATTACGTGCAACGCAGACGATTGCCTCCTTTTATTATTGGAATGTCAAGAAAGATCGTGGTTTTAAAAAGGATACTACAGAGCAGACTACTCCGGACCTGCTGCACAATAGTAACTTTCTCATAGTTTAGTACCTCAGAGCAGTCATTTTTGGTAATGTTGCATTCCATATTACGAAAGAGAGGTAAGAGGAAACATTACCTTAGGTTTGTAAGCTGCTTGATCATGGGACCCGATGTTTTATTTCTGTGGGAGGGTATCCCAATTACTACCGAAGGGTTTAACACTGCAACCTCTTGTGTGCAGTACCGATATACCGGTATTGCTTTTTGAGAACATGAACATGTCGAATTATGTCATATTGTGTGTACACATGTAAGGTACAGGAATGTGTGTCCTTCAATTCAGTAGATTTGTCTTTATCTTTTTTTAACGGATTGTAAAAAAGCTCGTCTATTTTTATTTTAAATACCCGTACTAATACTTGTAGCTTTTACTGGCTCGTATATCCTGATGTACTTGCTAGGATGTAATTTGAATGAGCTGACTTGATTTTTTTAATTTGAGATTCAAAAATACCGCTTAATAATGCCTACTCCCATCTCGCCTTTACGCCTGGTCCTACAGTTTGCGCCGACCATCTGTACCTCAAAATTATATCAAATGATTTTAGTAGCTTACTGAAAGCTTAATGCGCCCATTATTAGTAAGATAAAGTAATAGCGTTGTTTTGTATTATTAAATCCAATCTTTTTTTTCATTCTCGAAAACCGGCTTTCCTATCATGGGATAACAGTTTTGTGGACAATACACCGTACATAATGTACTACTGTACATTGTACAGTCCCTTCAAAGTCTGGACGTGAATAAAGGTGTACCGTATTCCTTATGTGATTGGCGACGCTCGGTCATTAGCGACAAATCCAGCAGCCAATCAAATTGATTTAAATTTCGTGTCGTCGCGCTTTATGTGCTTGGCGACCAATATATTTTTGAGCATGTCATATAGTTTTTTCTATGCAGGTATCTTTTATGCTGGCAGAAAGGCTGGACCACCTCAAGAATTTGACTGTCGCCAATCACATAAGGAATACGGTACCATAACCATTTATTTTTTATTTCACGTATAATACGCGGTGACAGCTCTTCGTCAGTAGAGCACAAGAAAGCTACAACGTACTACGTACCTTCAGCACTCCTTCCTGCACGCAAGTTATGCGTCCGCACGGTGTTGTTTTGTTGGCAGTTGTCACACTACTCACTATTAATAACGTCGATGCAAGGTCAGATTTTCATGCCGCAACAAGCGTCACGACTGCTGAACACAGCGTCTCCACCAACAGATTCTTAAGAAACAGCTATCTCTCCCAAGTGGATGACGATGAGAGGGCGATAAATACCGGTCTCAAGTCCTTTCCCGGTGCGGATATGGTCTCCAGCTTCATCACTAAGCAAAAACTCGCAGTGTGGCTGAAGAACAACAAGGACACGGACGATGTCTTTGTCGGGTTGAAACTTAACGCAGCAGACGACAGTATTCTCAAGAATCCCAAATTCGTCGCCTGGGTCAAGTACGTAGACAACTACAATGCTAAAAACCCAGGCCAGCCGTCTTCGATACTCGCGCCGTTGAAGAAACACGTAAATCTAGGGAAGCAGCAAAACAAACCGAAAGTACCAAAGACTTGGCAACGAAACTGCAGACCGAGCAGATGGAGACCTGGAAGCGCGCGAAACTCAGCACCGACAGCCTCTTCAACATGTACAAACTCGACAGCGAAGCGAAGGACTTGCTCGCTAGCCCTGGCTTACGTATTTGGGTCCGCTATGCAGAAGAATTCAACCCCGGCCCCAAAACGACATTGTTCGAGAAACTCCACGCCAGCTATTCAGATTTCGCACTGTCCCAGCTCCTACTTTTATCTAAGAAAGCCCCGAGCACGGAGAAGCTGGCCACGAGCCTTCAAAGGGAACAACTCCAAACCTGGTTGAATAGCGGAAAACAACCGCAAACCGTCTTCAAGGTTCTGAGGCTCGACAGCGAAGCAGATAATCTGTTTGCCAGTCCTCAATTCAAGATCTGGCTCGACTACTCTTTGGATTTCAGGAAGAAGTTTCCTCGCGCGAATACGGTGCCTGTCATTGATACGCTCGTAGCTCACTACGGCGACGCTGCTTTGTCCCGAATTATCAAAGCAGCCAAGGAAGGCGCTGGCACCAAGACCTGGGCCGTGTACTACGAACAGGCTCTGGTCGGAAAACTGTTGAAAGCCGAGAAAACGCCGGCATACATTTCACGCTTGGTGGGCAGACAAGTAACCCCAGACGATGCCTTCCAATTGCTCAAGTCCGACATGGGAATGGATAACATTATTGCGACTCCGGCGTATAACGCTTGGGCGACGTATGTGAGCGTGTTCAAGAGAGAAAATCCCAACGAAGCATCAAAGCAAGTTATCGATACACTCATGGCGCACTACAGCGACCAAGCACTAGCAAAACTGTTTAAGGCAGCAAAGGAGACTTCGACAACGAAGGTCAGGGCCTCGTATTACGAGAATGCTCTAATCGGTAAATGGGTGAAAGACGGGAAAACGCCGGCATACATCACCAGCATGCTGGGGAGGAAGGTAACCCCCGATGATACCTTCAAGTTGCTAAAGATCGACATGGGGACCGAAAACAATTTTGCTACGAGGGAGTATAATGTCTGGGCCGCGTACGCACACCTCTTCAAAAGAGAGAATCCAAACGTAGCATCGAAACCAGTAATCGATACGCTCATGGCGTCCTACAGCGACCAGGTATTGCTAAGAATGATCAACACTGCAAAGCAGACGCCAACCACGAAGATCAGGGCTGCGTTTTTCGAGAAGGCTCTGTTCGCTAAATGGGTCGAAAACGGGGAAACCTCTGCGTATATTTCGAAAATGTTGGGCAGGCATGTAACACCAGGTGATGCCTTCAAATTTTTCGCGCTTGACAAGGCAGGGGGGAACCTTTTCACGCACTCGGGATACGATACCTGGCTCACGTACGCAAAAGCTTTTAAGAACGAGAACCCGAACGCAAAGAAAGATTCAGTTATTGATACACTCACGACCAGCCTTGGCGACCACGCGCTAGTTGAACTGATCAAACGGACAGAGAAGACCCCAGCGACGAAGGAAAACGCCGCTTACATCAAGAATGCTCTGCTTGATGAATGGGTGAAAACGAACAAGTCACCAGCGTACGTCATGAACAAGCTGGGGGGGGACACCGGAGGGTGACAAGAAGGCGCTGCTGACCTCATATCTTGAAAAAAATCAAATCGGCAACGGATTAATGCAACCAATATCCATATTCAGTTTACATGCTAATACAAAGGCATTTCCCATAATTGTATCGATTTTGGACACAGTAACGGTAAAATGATGAATGCACCGACCGAGCAGCACCCCCTGAAGTCCAGCGTCTATCAGCATGGCCTGCTCCCCAGCTTATCTCGACCACGCCAGCTGCATCTCCAGCGACAGCGCGGAACCACGTTCCTGGCCTTCGTCGGCTTCGGGCTCGCATCGTGGATTATGACAAATGGTGCGTTTTAGCCAATTATTGCATTAAACCTAGCTATTTTTAATTATTGCAGACAATAATTTGCGACGTTGAAGTGACGTACGTGGAGCTGGGCGTTTTCCTGCGCGAGCTGCCTGAGCACTACAGTATCTATGCGTACAGCATCCTCGCCCTAGAGTCGGCCAATCTCTATCCGTTGCTCTACATGCTGCTCAACGCTAAGCAGCAGCTGTTGAGTCAATCTACCGTGATCTGGTGGATTCTGCTGCAAGGCGTCGTGGTTTCTGTGCTCATGAGCATGTTGTGGGGCCAGACAGCATCAGTCTTTGGAGCTAGACATAGTATAGCCATGCTGCTGCTCACCCACCTTGGAGGTATGGTGAGCACCACTTCCAGTGTCGTCTTCTACCCCTTCGTGGCCAGCTTCCCGCCACTCTTTACAAGCGCGTTGGCAACTGGGGAAGGGCTTAGCGGCTCCCTTGCAGCGCTACTGGGTGTTGTGCAAAATCCCGGGGGTCAACTGAAGTTTTCCGTGTCGACCTTCTACCTCATTTGTGGTAACATTGTGCTTGTTACGGAATTGTTGCCGGTAATTTATTTTGACGAATATTGAAACGCCGGCGGCAGCTACAATCATGTGTGTGTCGCTGGTGGCGTTTGCCTTCCTACAGTACCATCCGTGGGCTCACGAGGCGAAGACATCGGAGGAACTCACAGCTGCAGTGAACGGAGCAATCCAGAGTAGTCAGCAAGCACCGGATCGTGGCTCGAATTGCGATGAGCGAGAAGCTGAAGAGGACGCGCTACTCACTCGCAACGCCTGCGGTAGTTGTCCTCGCTCTACAAGTGCAAGTACAGTGACGATTCCGTCGCAGACAACTACGCAGTGCTCTGAAGCCACATCTGGAGCTGGTGCTTTCCGGCAAGTGTGGCAGCTTCTGGCTTGCCAGTGGGTATTGGCTGCGTTCTCGTTCGGATGGCTGCCATCTACCATGCCTTTTGTGTACAAGAAATTTGCGGTGCGTTGCTACTACTGTGGCATTTATGCCCGTTGTTTCCTATGACTCGCTAACTTCACTTTCTATTTAGCCGCCAGAAAACGCAGCAATTGCGACTGCGCGTTTCCAGACGACTGCCAGTATTGCGGCGCTCATTCTCTCTCCTCTGGCAAGCGTGTCCACAACGTAAGTGTCGCTGCTTAAGCGTTGCTGGCGACGTGGCACCCTAACCGTGTTTTACGTGATGAAGGTGGTTTCAACTATACTACGTTCGGAGTATGACGCTCCTCCTGGTGTTATTGGCGGTAAGTCGAACATTCTGTTTGAATTGCGAGTGACTTATTATGGCTCTAACGTTTCCTCTCTCTTGTCAACCACTTTCTCTTAGTCGCTATTGATGACCTTTTCACTCACATCCAGACCAGTATTCAGCAATTATGACGATGGGTACTTATTGCGTGAGTTGTGTGGCCCGTATTCATTTTGCTTCTTGACTATTTTAAACTGGCTGTTCTGATGCTACTTGATGGTATCTAGCGCTACTTGTTCATATTTTCTATCTGGTCGGGTGTGCGTACACTCAAACAATGCTATATCTCACGCTGAAACGGACAGCGGGTAAGTCCCAACACTTTTGCGTGCTATATCTCCAGTAGTAAATGTTTTATCTGTCTAGATGTCAAGCAGTTACCAGATTTCGCTCGACGCGTGTATCAATGGAATGGCTTAGCTACTCAGCTAGGTGCGATGTCAGGCACGGCCGTTGCATTCCCACTCGTCTTCTGGTGCGAAAGTTTGTTTACTACATAAGACATATCTAGATTTTGAGGCAAACCTTGATTGTCGTACACCCCAGTCAGTATATTTAGCACGCTACCTACAGCTCAAGGAGAGGTGCCAGTGGGCACTCGAAAAACAATAACTTGAAACCAATTATTACGGTATTGGTCCACTAAAATAATGGATTATTGAGCCTCGAGGAGTCTAAGCTTACAAAGTTTAAGTCATTTTCACTTTAATAATGTATTATTAAGCTAGCATATTGCAATTTAAACGTTTTGCAATCTATTTTTTTTTATTTTTCGCGCTCCCATAAAAAAATCCGCTACGGAGCCAATTCAACTGAGCTTTGGTGCACGGATAGTCTAGCATCTATAGAGACAAAGTGCACTGGAAGCACGCCTGTTACGTTTTTCCTTCATTAGATATCGCAGGGGAAGTTATGCTGCCTGGTCATATTTATCCGTTTTTGAGTAACTCAGTTTTGCAAAAGGTACCATATTATTTAATATTAACTCGGAGATTTGAAAAATATTTGATACTAGAGGATATTTTATGACATTTTCCGACTTAAGTACGTTTCTTGTTCTTGCCACCCTGAGTGAACCGAGGGATCTCTTTCGGTCAGGTTCTAAAACAGCAGTAGTGATGGCAGGCTTTAAAACTGACGAGTGCTTACTCTAGTATTTCACTGTGACACAGACAAAGGCGATCGAGATGGGAAACTGCAAACGGTTGCAGCTGTTTAAAGTCGATAGAGCGAAATCAAGGCATTTGTTCTTGTTCTCTGCCGATAGCCTCGTCCTCATCGTGCGTCTAATAGACTTGTAGCCTGTGATGCTAGATTAATGCGCTCAGCAGTGCCAACGCACTACACCAACCTTGCCGTCACTCTCACAATTGTCCGGACTCCACGGTTAATTAGTAATACTTCAGCTAGTCGATCTTTAACGACATCTGGTAAAGCCGATTACGCAATCTTTGAAATTTATAATATCGTATTAAGTAATATTAATATGATATTTAATAATATTATGTTTTTAAATAAAATTATTCGGTAATATTTTATAAACTAACTGGTTCTCGTCGCAATATTAGCTTCACCGATTTTGGAGTTACCGGTACCATTAACCCCTGACTGTAGTGTACTGTACACTCTTTCAAAAGAGCGTGTACATGTACACGTGAGTAGCTGAGTAGTAGTCAACTACGGCGTTTACACCTCTAGCTAGTAGATGATCTACCGTTTTTCTGTAGCGCAGCAGTACATACGGTTCATCCAAAAAGGGAGCAGATAACAACAGGCAGTGCCAACAGATAACAACAGGCCCTGTTGTTATCTGCTTCCTTCCTGTCTGTCTGGCACCCATTCTTAGCAACAGGCACTTGACGCTGCTCGGAGCCAGGGGGGGGGTTCTTTAGTGAGGTCAAATCTACTCTCAACTTTCTACACAGTCGAAAGGAACATAAGCTTAAGTGCTGAGAAGGCGCTGCGATTCTCAGAGTATGTGGAAGACCACACTCGCTCAAAGCTGGGTGTAAAGAGGATTGCGGACATCGGTACAGACAGGTGAGCTTAAATGTTTCTAGGGGACTTTGTGGTACAGTATTCAAGATTCGGCTTGGTAATGACAGTGAAAAGGTAAATGCGGCTTAATAGGGATCCGCTTTTCTGCACTTTGAGCATGTCTTATATAGGTACAGTATAAGATTTTGTATGCCAATTAAGAATCAGTGCCTGTTATTATCTGCCCCCGTCCAGAAATAACTTTCTGTTCAAAAATGATTTCTGTCTCTCTTGTTTTGCAATTATCGGCGCTTCAGAAAGTCTCTACCACTCTTTACTTTCGATTCGTGCCCCTTCTCGCTTGCGAGTCATGCAACCGCAGTTTCTTCGTCCTATGTGCATCGTTTTAACCGTTTTCGCCCTACCCTTTTATAAACAAAAATGATATTAAATAAATGCTCAATTATTGCACAGTAAAGCTGGTACCTTTTAGTACTCTTAATTAAGAGTTACAATTTGCATCCTTAAATGTTTCTGAGACAAGTTACTGTACTACTGTACCAATCCGGAACTAATAACTTAAGACTTAAAGGCTGTTCAGTAAGCACTGTACATGTACTGGAACTCGTCGCCATCCGGATCTTTAAGATGATACGAAGTCGGATCTGCTAACATACGGTACATGTAGCCAGGCTACTTACTGCTTGCATGTTGTAATACTGTACATCCATTAAGTAGTTGTTTGCTACAGAAATAAATACTTGTTGTCCACTTTGATATTATAATAGTTTTTATTGGAGCTTCCAGTGATAAAACTGCGCTAGAAATGTGAAGCCTTCCTGGCTTCACAAGTTTATTACTTTACAGAAGTGAGTAGGGGAGGGGGGGGGGCAGATCGCAGCGAGCAAGTGCATTCCCTGAACCCTTTTTCATAGCTCCTTCTCATTAAGTATATTAACTCAGTAGTTTTTTTCTTAATAATAGCCAACGGAGAATACGGTATGCTAAAGCCGCGGTATAAAGTTTCCGGGGAGGCTGTCTTGCCAAACAGGACATTGTTTGAACGCATGGGATGCTTGCTATTAATAATGTTTGGAATGAAATTGAAATGTGTGTGTGTTTATAATGAAATATTAGTATTTCTAGTTGGCACTCGTTATTTTGCCAGACTGAAATAACATAGCATCGACTTTTATACGTGTACAGATAGTATAGAACGGTTGCGTTGGAGTAGAGGTAGGCGTTTGCACTCGTCTGCGGACATAATATGTTATAGCCGTGGGCCCGCCCCTCTCTTCGCTTGCTGCGCTGCGCTCGGGGGGCGCCGCTGCGCGGCCTCTAAGTCCTCGACTCAGCAAGGCGCTGTGTCTGGGATTGGAAATTAATTCCGAGCGAGTGGTGCCAAGACCGTCGGCAAAGTCCATTTTATGCATGTTGAGGAGTATAATTGTATATTCGGTTACAGTCGGGCAAAATACTCACTTCCTTTTTAGTTTTATTACATGTACCAATATTTTAAGGAAATACGTATGGATGAGTACTTCGGCTCCCTTTTCTGTGTTTCTAATCTTGAAAAGAGCCTAAACAAATTTTAAATCCTCTCAATAGTAATTTAGTTTTTTTTAATACTCTCTCAACAGCAATACGAGAAGTCATCCAATTACTAAACAAGCTCAAACTACCGGTTTGAGCTTGTTTAGTAATATAGTATTTTTTCTTACAGATGAGTGTGTTGTAAATGCAGCTAACATGCTTTTGAAGTGAGAGTGCTTCATCATTAGTATCGCTCTTGCTCCACAAAGCCCTAACAAACGCTGGCTGGGCTGGACTGCCTCCATATTATCTGCAACTGTTTGATTACAGTCGGTTGTCTCAACATATCGTGTTGACTTTACACCTTTGATGACGATACACCGTTCACTGCTAGATTACCGGTATATAAGTTTAGTTTGTGGGGTGAGCTAGTAGAGTGACAAATAGTTGTAAGACGCACACTCACACTATTATTAAGAGAGTGTTAATTAGTTAACTGTAGAATCACAAACATGTTTGCGGAGTACAAGTACGCTATAACACCTTTTAAAACGAATATAACCTTGTAAAGAAACGTTATTGGCTTTAGATCGCACATGATCTAAATAAAAATGGTAATTGGTTATTTTTGTCTCAACATGATGGTATTATAAGAAACCCTTTTAGAAAGGAATACGTACAGTGGATCTCCTGCAAGATTTGTGTCGCCACATAAAAGCCTGATTGATTAGAACGAGCCATTCCCGCTTTTACTTGGCAACACTCACAGCGAGAACTGCAGGAACGGGCTTCTTTAGCTACGGGAAAGCAAATACAGAATACTTATGCGCGTGCACTGTGTCGTGTTGCTGGGAGTTTTCGCCTTACTCGCAAGAAATAATGCAAGCTCTGGTGCTCAAGCTGCAACAAGAAGCTTCACAAGTGCTGAGCGCAGGCTCTCCACCTTGAGATCCGGCTACATCGCCAATGAGGGAAAGGAAGAGAGGGTGATACACGGAGCTGAAAAGCTACTTGATGCAGCGAAGAAGGTGCCCGGTTTAGAGAATGTGGCCACAAGTCTGAAAAGCGGGCAAATGTCCCCACGAGACGCCTTCAAGTACTTGGTTGTTGAAAAAGTCGCGGATAACTTATTCGACGGTCCGCACTTTAAGGCCTGGCTGGATTACTCGACTCGTTTCAAAAAGATGGATCCTAACGCAGGCACGGTATCCACAATTGATACACTTGCAGCTCACTTTACGGACGACGCTTTGGCACGAATTGTCAAAGTTGCAAAGGAGAATCCAACCACCAAGCTGCGGGGCACATTTATTGAAGATGCACTGCTCGCTAAATGGGTGAAAGACGGACAAACACCGGGATACATCACGAAAACGCTGGGTCGGCAAGTCACCCCAGACGAAGTATTCAAGGCGCTCAAATCCGACATAAAAACGGATAATCTCTTCGCGAGTCGAGAATACAGCGCCTGGCTAACGTACGATAACTTTTTCAAGAGCGAAAATCCGAATTTTGCGTCGAAACCACTGGTCGACATACTCTCGACGCACTTCAGTGACCAGAAGTTGTCGAGTATTATCAAAGCAGCACAGGGAAACAGATTGTCGAAGCTCAGGGCCGCGCAGTTCGAAAAGGATCTGCTCGCTAAGTGGGTGAAGAGCGGGGAAACCTCGACGTATATCTCAAAGACGCTGGGCCGACAAGTGACCCCAGATGATGTCTTCGACCTGCTCTCACTTCAGAAGGCTACGGATAACATTTTCACGCATTCGGAATATGATACGTGGCTCAAGTATGCAACCTCTTTCAAGAATGAAAACCCGAACGTAAGACCAGATCCTGTTATCGATACACTCACGGCTAATCTTGGCGATCAGGGGCTTATCGAGCTCATCAAGAGGGCAGCGAAGAACCCTGTGACGGAGGAAAAAGCCACTTACATCAAGAATGCTCTGCTTGACGACTGGGTAAAAGCCAACAAGTCACCGGCCTACGTCCTTAACAAGCTTGCAACCTCGAATGATGACAAAACGAAGTTGTTGAGGACATATCTTGGCAAACTAGATTCGAGCCCACTGTTCAAGTTTACGTAGTGAGTATGTGAGCAGCCGACGCGTTAACCAGGCACGCAAACAAATTCTAGCCAGCTCCAAACACATTTCAATAAAGATTAGACTTGGATCGTGCTGTGTTATTGCCCCTGTGAAATACTAGAACCCGTCGAACGGTAGCGTCGTCGTACAGCATTGCTGTGTGGGTAGGAAGCACAGTGAGAATTGCTAAATGAATGAAAGGCAGTGCGGCCACAAACTGCAGCAACAGTGTCCACTGATTCCATCGACGCCGTACAGCCAGCCAGCGTCCACCAAAATTGGCGGGAGTAGTTGCCGCCACTTTTTGCCTCTTTCATCTAATGAACTCCAAACGTAAATACTCCCATAAATATTAAGTGTCAGTGTCATGTCACTTTGAACTTACGTTTTGTCACTTTGATTTTACCTGTCGCCATTTTGAAGTTGAAAAGGTGTACTATATTAACACTACAGTAGATTGCAACTACGGTTTCGCGGTGACGAGCACGCGTTTCTAGCCTTAAAACAAACAACTGTGTCTTTTTCTTCAATAATAGCGATGGTAAAGCACAGTTGAAGTGCTGATTTGAACAAAACCAATTAAAAAAGAGTAAAGTCAAGAGTAAAGAGGAAGCTTAGTTTTGCTCAGTTTTGTCCGAAAGGAAAAACCGTTTGGGGGTATTGTGCTTCTGGTGCTTTAAGAATATGCTCACGTTTTTAAACGTAAATCTTAAAAAAAAAGGTTTGGTTTTACCACGTGCCCAGAAGCTAAGCTAATTTGACAAATTACGCCGAATTGTCAGATTCTAATATTTTGTGCTCTTTCCCATTTCTGGAAGGGGTAGGGACTTCTAAATTTTTGCAGTTTAAAATGAGCTATTATACGCGTGATGGTTAGGGGCTGGGATGAGGCGTACTCACCATAAAATGGAGTAGCTTTACGGGGGATTGACAAACACTTGTGCATCATAGAACCGAAACAAAACAGCTAAGAGCTTTAGTCCTGTCGGTAGTAAATCGAAGGCGTATTTGTAAAGAAAACTTTGCACTGTTAAGTAGTAGCGTCGCCACTCGTTTTCTGGTTGTTATCCCTCCTCTCAAGATGATTTCAATGTCAAAAAGTACTCAAAGTACTTGTTTAACGGCTCTTCTTTGCGTTTATTCCATTCAGCCCCAACATGCGCTTGGCGAACGTAGGGGAGCGATCCGAGGCAGCCCAAGTCTTCATCCTTGTGGTTACTTCTTCATCGGTTTTCCCAGGTTTGACGATCATTTCAAATTGGCTGAACATACGCCCTTCCGCTTTACTGTCAAATCTGTTGGTAAAGCGCACATACTTCCTGTACGCATCGGTACTTTCACGCCGAGCTGCATCGATGCCACTCAGCCCCAAGTCATTCCAGAACGTTTCTGTCTGCGTATCTTGTCGTCCATCTGAACACCCTCCTGCTTGTGTAGAAACTGCTGGTAGACTTTGTACTTGGGACTCGACTTCAAAGCAGCTTCTGGTACGTCCCTCAACCCAAGCTTCTGCTTGACGTAGTCATCGCTCTTTCCCGTCTCAGCCCAATACTTCGTTTTGGCCCATTTCTTGATGCTCGTCCCCATGGACTTGATCGAGGAAAACACCCCCCTCTCCTCCGTGTCAAAAGGGTCCGTTTCGGCCTTGTTCGTACCACGCAGTAGTCTTTCGTAGTAGTGAGGGGTGTTTAATCGCCCAGACTCTGCAGCCGTCATGAAGACCGTCACGAGAGGGACGAGATAAAGCGTCATGGACGAGAAATTTTGTTCACAGAGGCTGGATGTCTAACGAGCAGATTGCAAAGTGGTGACGTGCTGCACTCGAGGCCTGCTTGGTGCTGAATCAGCACTGCTGATAGCGTTCTGTAGTACTACGTAGTACTTGTACTGAAGTACTACATGTACAGTATGAAATACTGTAGTAGTTTTGGGGTATCCTCGTGTCTGGTTATTAGGATTTCTAATGGTGATGGGATGTCCGTCACTCCAGAAAAATACGCCGTGTAATCACGAAATCGTTAAGTAAAAACTGGCTCACGGAGCACGCGCTTTGATTCACTATAGCTTTTTAAGTTACAAATGTAATTTACCACCACGGAATCAATAGTGACGCCTTCTCAATCGATCAGACATACATGCGCCTAGACAGAACAGTGACTAACGCTACTGTACAGCTTCTACAGGTAAACGGAGGAGAGCATCGCACTGGACGAAGGACGAGGAGCTTGGCTGTCATCGAGGGGGCTGGGACTGGCGACGTACACGTTGCTGTCGTCGTTCCTTGTTGCTGTGTGGCCACCCACAACTGTCTCGTCCCAGTGCTGCGCGATAAACTGCGCGAGTACAACTTGGTCCATCACAGTCAAGACGTTGGCCACTCGCGAGAGCATCACGTCGCACACCATCACAAGTGGCATCGTAGGTGGCAGTACGCTCGCAGCACTGGACGCATCATCCCTCACAGCAACAGCCCACAGCGTGTGAGCCATCGCCAGCGTCACGCGAGAGCTCCCGCCACTGAAAGAGCTCAACAGCGACAGTAGCCACACCGCAAAGTAACTCGTTGAGCTCACCCTCACTTCATCAGACGTTGAAGTCTCCAGCAGCCACAAAACAAGAAGCGGTAGATACAGCGCACGAGCGTTTCGAGAGAGAGCTGCTGTCACAGCGGTGGCCAACTGCGCGGCGGATCGCGTCGTCGTGTTTGCTCGAGCGTAACATTGCATCGAGACCGGAGCGGTTAGAGCCACGCTGTCAGTAGTGAACGCGAACAGCAGTGCCGGAGCGAATGCCCTAATCGTCTTCAACCAAGGTAAACGTTGATGAGTGCTGGAGAGCAGCCTCAGTACAATTGGCAGCACCAGTGCAGCATGGAGGAGGAGTAAACTCAACACACCAACGACCAGAGACGACACGGGAGACGCCAACGAACGCCATTCCCGATGGTGAGCCACTACGTGTCCGAGCATGAGCGAGAAGAAACCCAGAGGCGCCAGATATCGCTCCATAGGACGCACTATCCACTCCAGCACAAGCTGCAGCTCCATCAAAATCCCAATGATGTAATGGCGAGCCTTGTGTGGGTCGGGAGTAGAAGCGCTTCCTACAGACTCGAACATCACAGCTTGAGCATCACGTCGTAAGCTCAGCATCCTCTTCCCACACACGTAGCCCAGCAAGAGACCGAAGACGACCAAACCACTCAGCGAGGCCAGTTCATCCAGCTCCACAGGCGTAAACTGCGACGCCACGTTGCTTGGCGCCAGCGCTGATAGCAACGAGAGCGTCACGTTTCCTCTTGAGCCTAGCGATGCAGGATAGTACGACACAGACGTCGGAGTGGCCAACATCGTCGTAACTTCTTGCAGTCCGAATACAGCGGGCCCGTTGTCGGGCGAGTCGACGGCAATCTCGTCGTACAGAGGCAGAGTCAGCGACGCATTGGAGCACGCAAACACGTCGTGACCCAGTCGCTGCAGGTACTCGCTGTCGCCAGCACACAACAGCCCCACTATTCCCTTTGGTAGCGATGTTGCTCCGATAGCATCAGACAGCGTCGAGCCTTCCGTGCTGGTCGTGCCGCTGTCTCCACGAAACCATCCAAAGCTGTGAGTCATCCACATCGCCACGACTCCTTCGAGAGCTGCCAAACCTGCGAGACCTAATGCGTATCCAAGCGACCGAAAGCTCAGCACAAGCGCGGCTTTATCTGCACAGCCCACCAGATCCGCTAGACCAGTAGATACGTAGCACAACAGCAGCACTGTAGTCACCGCAGTCCACACGCGAAGAAACAAACGTCCAGGCAGCAGCAGCCACCTCCCTCCAGTAGAAACCACCATCTCCCCATTGCTCGCTTGACCTTCACGAACTTCATTCGCCGATAGATTGAACACAGTAGCGCTAGGACTCACGACAGAAACCAGGATAGCACCCAGTGACAGCCCAAGCAATGCACACGTCGCCAGGATCAGCCACTGCCGCACCCACGCACGATCACTTTCCACAGTCTTTTCCTTCCGTTGTCCTACCGGTTTGTTCAGTCCCGGCACCTTGAACGGAAGCTCGTAGAAGCCATTGTGATCGTAGCCTCGTGGCAGCGCTGCTGGGGCTGTACACTGCGACTGAGGCGACGTCAATCCGGCGGTAGTACTCTGCTGTTGAGCATATCGACCAGGCAAGAAGCGGCGCAGAGTACTGGCCAGAGACGCAGATAAACTCTGCACACGTCCTGCTAGTGTGGATCTCTGAGCGTACGACACTTGCGACGCGTCGAACGGGGCATCGGCAGAGCGTTTAAAGCCGTTAAAGCCACTGCCAGCCTTCCACAAGAACCCAGTCGCAGTGCCAGCAAAAGCCACTGGCGATTTCCCCGGAGATCTCCCGATTCCCATGCCGTCACTTGCCCCAAATCCGCTCGAAGGCGTAAACGACGTGACGAAAGGCGACGAAGAGAGCGCAGGAGACTCGTTTGCCGACAGCCGCGGCAGTGAGGGTGTCAGCGAGAGGTTGCCAGCTCGACGTCCCACCGCTGCTCCATGCCTGCCCAATCCGTCGCCACCACCAGCAGTGTTCGTCTTCTTCTTCGCCAGTATTTTGGGCTTCTGGGCGTCTGCTGCTTGCGGACTAATGACGTAATGCAGAGGCCCCGAGACGTGGTCAGATGGCATGGATCGCGTCGCTGTAGTGCCCGTACTTGTGGTCCCAGTCGTCATCCCCATCGCTGCCTGCTTTGACGAATCTTCACGCTGCGGCACCGGACGCGCATCGTCCTCCAAATGCCACCCAGAGCGCTTGCCACCATGGCGCAAGTTCTTCAAATCGATGATCTTGGCCTCCGGCTTGCCGTCGAAATGACGCGACATCTTCTCCGCGTCGTCCACACATTGAATCACCGTCGTACGCGCGCGTGTCTTGCGGTTCGTCCAGCGATGCGGCTCCCGTTCGTCGATATCGTCCACACTTTTGTGATGCGTCTTCCGAAAGAACTCTTCCACTTTGCGTTGAGACGCGCGCTGCATCGTGCGGCTGTCACTCGTTGAGCGTTCCAACTTGACGCCGAAGAGATCGAACTTCAGCGCATCGTTGCGTTTCTCCAGCTTGGACTCTTCCCGGGACTGGCCGGGTCTGTAAGAGGAAGTGTCGTTGCTGTGTGAAGCCTCGAGACTGTTCGCCGAGCCTCGATAAACGCCAGTAAAGTCCAGACGATCAGCAGTGTCCGTGGAAGACGCCACAGACGAGCGAGTCAAAGACGACGGAGCAACAGGCGACGCTGCTGCTCCGCTCTTTGCTAAGAGCGAGGACGAGAGTGAGCCACGCCCTCGTGGCGCCAATTTGAGCTTGAGTGGAGGCTCAAGGGGCAGCAAAGCTCCACAAGCCACGTCACCCGCTTCTGTTTCTTCTGACCGAGTGTTTGTACGAGCGTCACGCGTCTTGATAGCAGCCAGAAGCGCTGCGGACGAGAAGCTTTGCGTACCGGTAGTAGCGGGAGATCTAGACGGCTTCACGTCGCGGCCTCGAGGAAGCATAAACGACCTGTAGAGAGCCTGCTGCGATCTGTTGGTCGGCTGTCGTCTTGGCGAACGCTTCCCCACTTGCTTCTGCAACTGAATACTTGTAGATCCTGCTGAGGGCGGAGATTTGACACCGTTGAAGGACACGAACGGGAGCTCGTCACTCGTAGCGGAAGACTGCGACACAGCTGATGAGGCCAGAGAGCTTCCCAGTATCGTATCATTCGCGCTGTTGCAGTCTCTGCCCACAGGGTAGAATCCATCCCGGTCCACCAGTTGACTGAAGCTGCGATCCAGTCCCGCTGCGACGTCTACTTGTACGAGGTCGCTGTAGCTTCGGTCCAGCGTCTCTGCGCCAATCTCCTCCTGCGATATGATGTCGCTACTGCGTCGTTCGTCCTGGTCACGAACGTCGTCTCCCAGGATGGCTACATTCAAGAACGAGTCGTCTCCTGAAGGCCTCGAGTCCAGCGATAACGAGCTCACGGACGAGAAACTCTGTTGGATATCGTCCACGAAGAAGTTCGCTTGGCTGTGGAACGACGCGAAGCTGTTGGACGAGTTCGACGAGGCCGAAGCGCGTTCTTCCACTGTACTGCTGAGTCGCTGTCTTTGTCGCTCGCTGTAGCCGGCAGAAGCACGTGGGGACTGTGAATCACTGGCTAGAGGCCCCAGCTCTTCATCGAAGGCATGCTTGCTCTCACTTAAGTCCAGTGCCGACACTCGCCACGATTCGCGCGATGCTGTCAGCCGACGCTGCGGAAAACACTCGTGCGACGACGTTGTGGAAGACGCAGCACTAGACTTGCGAGAGAGAGGCGGCTCGATCGAGGCCTCTGTGCTGGGAAAGACTTCAGCTGGTGACGCTGAGGTCGCACTATCGACAGCACGCTCACTTGCCTCGCTCTCGTCTTGCTCTCCAGCTAAAGTCTGTACGGCACCACTACCGCCGTTGGGCTGTTCCGAGGTGCCAAGCTCAGGCGGGGCATTGGACGCGCAGCTGTCCGTGAGTACACTACAGAAGCTGTCGTCCTCTGTAGCAGCACTGTCAGCTTCCACTTGGTGCAGCCTGAACGAGGAATCAGCCAAACCTCCACAATCGAATGCAACAGCGTCACTAGGTCGGATGAAGCTCGACGCACTGGGACTCAGGAACGAAGGCTCGTCGTCCTCCTCCCCTTCGAATACGTTTGCTTCCGTCGGACTTGGTCGGTACTCGAGGCTTCTCTCTTCGGTCGTCGACGTGCTTGCCTTTACTGCGTGAGTGTAGCCGAATACGATCTCCGGGCCATCTTCTTCGTCCGGCAAGGTTGGTCGATACACGACGTCGTCAGCAGTACCGTCAGCCAATGTCGCATGGTCGTTGTCTGCTAGACTTGGTCGAGACTCGACACTGTGGGCGACTGTAGCGACGTCAATGCTCCCAGTCTGGTCGCTACTAAAGAGAGGTGGACGATGCACGACAGTCACATGAGCTTTCTCCGCATCAGAGCGGCCGGCGTGTCGGTCCTTCGGCGTCCGATCGTCACCTGCAACACTTGGACGGTACACGAAACTGGCATCTACGAAGCTTGAGTCAACGCGCTTCAGCGCTTCACTCGGACTCTCGTCGTCATCCGGCAGACTCGGACGGTACACGAAGCTATTATCTGCAAAGCTGTCTCCTCCAGTAGTAAAGCTGTGCTCGTCCGAGAAACTAGGTCGAGGCTCGTCAAAGAAACTGTCGCCCGCGTCACCAAAGCTCGGCGGTCGGGACGCCAGACTGTCGTGAGGCCCACTAGCATTACGCGTGACGACATCAGCGTCAGCGTCGACGAAGCTGTCGACGTCACTAGGACGATCCTCTGTGCCCGTAGTCTCTGTCTTCGTCGCCTCCTCCACCAACCTCCTAGGCCCCAGCAAGGCCTCGTCCTCTCGAGCATCAAACGCGCCTGGCTTGGCCCACGTGAGGCGGAAGCGGTTGCCGCTCTCGTCTGCCATCTTCAGTGTGTCCACATACGTTCGGTCGTCTGCCTGTTGCTGCATTCTCAGCAGCGCGCGTGTATCCGCGTCGTCCTCGTCTTCCTCGTCACTACTGTCCGACACGAAGTCTGCAAAGGCGCTTTCCGTCCCCCGAGCGCTCGTCTTTCTCTTGGGCGACTGAGGGTCCGAGTCTCGAGGCTCTTTCTCCTCCTTGACGTCCAATTGGCCACCCACCACTCGACTGGCTCGCTCCACGAGCGCCACGAGGTCCAACACGTCGGTCATTGAGACCTTGGAGGCTGCAGCCGCCGGGTCCGCCTTAAAGGGGGCATCACTGTACGCGCTTTCGTCTGCCTGCTCCTGCATCCGAAGCAGCGCACGCGTGTGCGCGTCATCCGCTTCCTCGTCGTCGCTATCGTCCGACAAGAAGGCAGCGAACGCGCTCTCCGTCTCCCGACCGCTCTGGCGGCAGGACTCGCGAGTCGGAGGTCGAATCTCCGCCATAAGCGTGTAGAGGAAAGAAGTGCGGACACAGCTACATTTACTACTATTCACAAGCAGCCCAGAGCCCCGTCATTTAGGGAAAGGATGACGTGTGGGATGTTCTGGGCGTGGCATCTGGCGGATGCAGGCTTCAATAACTAGAAATGCGCCACACATGAGATACACTTAAATTCAGTCTGAACATTTTCTTAAAAAGATATTTGTGGTGGGGGTCCATCAGATCTGATGAGAAGAATTGTCGCCACAGGGTTGGAGCCCTCGGTCGAAAGATGGTGTTGTTTGAAAATCTTCACACGGACCACGGATCATACAAATACGTATACCGGTAGCTATCCAGCTGTGTACTACAACGCTAAAACTGAAGTGCTAAGGAACCTGTGGACTGCCCAACTGAGCTTTCCCCCCCCACCATTCAAATGTCAATGTCGTACGTGGTGTGGTCACACAATGTTTTGTGGCACTTAATGTGATCACACGTTTCAGAATAAAATCTTTCTAAAATCTAGATTATAACAGTACGCCCTAGATAATGCCGGTATCATACCGGTATTTAGAGCATTCACAGGATGAGCTAATTTGTACTCGACATCCCTTGCAGGGCCCCCGAAAAAAAAATTGACGACACAGTAGTTTCAATAAATAAGCAGACATTATTTATGTTGTCACCCTAAACTAGGCTCGTGCATAATTTATGGTGGCTGCATAGTACATACGGTAATTTATGCTACAGTTTCCTGAAGTTATCTGCAGCAGTCAACGAACCAGTCGTTTTGTTGCCGAATCGGCTGATCTCAGCAGACTCAATTTCTTTTCTCTCACTTCCCACTTTAGAAATGATTCTCTTCCTGCGCGAAAATGCTGGTTACTGGGACGCACAAACACTTGACACAGCAACTCGAGCGTAGATACCTGTTATTGATTCAATAAACCTTGGTTATTGCAGCAGTAACTCAATTATTTATTGGTCTTCTAGCTAAAGCATCATAACGTATTGCCAACATACAAGCTAGCTTCGCGATAATTTATCGTGAAGATGCTACTACGATAAATAACAATATCATTTTCGGACCCCCTGATCCCTTGATGATGCACGTTTTCGAGCATGTGGTCATACTGCGACGAGAAATCTTGCAGTCATGTTTCATTTTACTCGTAACTTCTCACAGATCAAAGCGTGAGTCTTTTCCTGATCTGGCCTTCTTCATGTACCTCGGATTGACGATCGTTTTCATTCTACTCGTTACCACGAGTACGTATGGAGCAGCCTCCATAGGAAACAGTCAGACGTCGAGTACTCCCTGCTGCGACAAAAGGCTACTGTCGTCTTTCAAGCCTGTGGTGTCGCAGTCAAGTGGCAACGAAGAGAGAATAAATAATCCTATCAAGACGATGGAAATCAGGTCCTGGTTCATGAACGGCAAGACCCAAGACTTCGTCGAGAATTCGTTAAAGCTAAAGGGGCTGTCAGGTGAGGCAAAGAGAGCCCATCCCAACTACAAGTACTACCAGAAATTCTTGTACGACGTCGAAGGCCGACAGCTTGATCAATTGTATCGTCGGGGCATTCCAATGGAGACGCTTTGGAAACGATTGAGACTGGAAAATGTCCGGTTGAAGGAGCTGGATAAAAATAATGGGTTTCGGATCTTCGTTCGCTTTATGGAGAGATATGATGAATCAAATTTCGTGTCGATGCAACGAGGCGTCATGAAGCACGTATGGACGGCCTACCAGCATTTACCCGAAGGACACAAGTACGCGGCTGCCATCGTGTGGGGCAGAGCCGGAAGACCCCGAAAGTACGTCAAACTAGCGTTACGTATGGATACTTCCGCCAATAGAAACCAGTTTTACCAGAAATTCCTACAAGTGTCAGGGAAAAAGGACGGATAAGCTTTAGTAAAAAGGCTCTCCTACAATGCTTTAAAGGACGACTTGAGCATTATGCTCGAATTTTATATCGTTTGGTGACCCTCCTTCGAAGTGAGTACATAATGATTGCGTTTGGTAATTTAAAAAGGTAAGGTTACAGCTGGATCATGAGCTCGCAAAATCTTATCTCGTTTTTGCCAAATTGCCTGCCTGGCAGACAATCCTCTTCGGGGTGGTATCCCAATCGTGATACCTTCTAGTTAAGGAGACTAGGGGGGGGGTGCTAGCCTCCAGATTGTACTTAGTGATACAGAATTGACGATTATTATTAGCTAGTGGTCCAGGACCGGACCACTGGTCCTATGGTAAGCTTCACCCGAACATTGTCCAGCAAAGACATTAGCTTTTTCCGGCTCCGTTTGTACCCAACTCAGTGGATTCGTCGACGACTACCTTCCCTTCTGGCATGTTTAGCAGCTCTTCGATGGACGTCACGCTTATTGTGTGCAAGCGCGGCATCATCGTGATGGTGTCCAGGACCGTGTCCTCCACTTTCAAATTCACAACTACGTTATGGTAGTCCGAAGACCCGAGTGCTTCCAGCAGTTCACAAACCAGGTGCGGGTATGTAATAAAATTCTAGAGCTCCACGCTCTATATAAGTAAGGGCTTGACGCACGCTAACTGTAACGGGGTACGTAGCACTAAGTGTACCCTGGTTACATGAAGTGTGACACTTCACACTTCAGGAGTATGACACGTCATACTCCGGGATATTTGGTACAAGGTACCAAGGTCATTCAAAACCAACCATTGGTTAAATGACATTGCATTTCTATAGGTAACTGATAGTTTGTATTAACCACAAACTTAACCTACCTATAAATATACTCAGTTTACAATCTACCTTATTTAGGTCACTTCGCTCTCTTTAATTAAAGAGGGGACCTGTGAACTGCCGTTCACTGAGAGTTTGTATACTCTCGGAAGATAACTTCCTCTAGCGCAAGGTGCTGTGTGACCCCGTCACACTTGGTAGCACTTGTAGTCAATCCACGCCATCGCGGGTAGACTACCTGAACCTCCGAAGTTCGTTGCCATGGATAGGAACGACTTCTCCCATATGAACGACTCTCAGTTCGAGTCGGTTCGGAAGATGGCAGGCATCTTCGGGATGGAGGCCCTGCAGAGCCTGGTGGTATCAACACCGGCTGAGCAGCTCGAGCGCGTCAATGCATTCGACGCGTACGAGCAGGGCCTCATCGCGCATGTGCGGGAGAACCTGCAGGCTCCGGCGGCGGGAGCAAACCCGCCTCACCCGAAGCCAATACGGCTGAAGGTAAAGCCGTATGAAGGGAAGGAAGGCGAGAACCTTCACTTCTGGGTCCGAGAAGTAGAGCTCGCGATGGACGCGGCTCTGATCTCGACCGAGCAACTGCGTGTTGCTTTTGCACTCTCCAACCTTAGCGGTCGTGCTAAGAGTTGGGTGTACACTCGGGAAGCGACATCCCCTGGATGTTTCACATCCTGGGCTCAGCTGTGCGAACAGCTCCGAGCCGCGTTCCTCCCGGCGAACTACGAGTACCGCCAGCGTTCGCGCTTCCTCGCGTGTAAACAAGGAAGACGCGAACTGCACGAGTATGTGCAAGAGATACGGGAGCTCACGGCGTCCCTAGTGGGAAACCCACTCAATGAACACATCAAGATGACTGTGTTCATGGACGGCCTTCGAGTGGGCCCCGCACGCACTCAGCTGTTCCGGGTGCAGGCAAACACCCTTGAAGAGGCGATTCAAGTGGCTCTTCAAGAAGAATACAGCCATCGCCAGGCGCGTACGCCGGCCTCAGCGTGGCCTGGGAGTTCCTTGTCGGCTCCCGGTCGAACAAGCCCCAACGGACCAGTTCCCATGGAACTCGGGTCCGCCGAACAGCGTGACATCCGCTGCTTCGGCTGTGGGAAGATGGGCCACTTCAAGCGCGACTGTCCCGCGGAAAGACTCCGCAGACGGTCCTTCCCCAAGCCCGTCCTCAAGGGTCGCTGGCAGAAGCCAGGATCCCGGGGACAGGGGAACGCAGGGAACCAGTAGGGGCGGGGCGCCCTACTGGGGAAGAACTAAGTCTTCGTGATGGGTACGCGGGTGGCGCGTACCACGGGGACTTAGCCCCTGAGAGTCTTCGCACTCTCGAATCGGCGAAGAGCAGCGGCGGGGTTGCTCGTAGTACACGGATGTGTACGGGGGTACGATCACCCCTTTAGAATCTTGATTGACTCTGGGGCGTCGAAGAATTTCGCACGCCGCCAGACGGTTGCTCGTAACAGCAACAAGTTGTCCGAAGCTTTGCGAGAAAGCAAGGGCAACGGGACGGTGTCAGTGCGACTGGCCGACGGGAAAGGTCGTCACTGTCCCCAACGTCCAAGTGGATCTGGCTGTCAGTTTGAAGACTTTGACAGCCTCGAACAGTTCACTGTTCTCGATATGGATCCATATGATATGATCCTGGGCATGCCCTGGCTTGAGAAGCACGAGCCCTGGATCGACTGGCGAGGCAAGGCAATCGGTGCCAGCCGCCCTGCGCAGTCCGACAGAGCATTGGTGAGTCATGTTCCCACCTCTGTCAGGACCCGGGGCGCCCGCGAGGGCTGCCAGGGTACCAAAGCATTCGGCAGATACTTGGGAGTCGTCGACGTATATGACGACTCCGAGGATGTTTTGATGGTGGCCGCGCCCAGAAGAGGCGCCGGCCAAGTGGGTAACTTAGGTCCACAGGCGGGTAACTTAGTTCCGCAGACAGCTGCAGCTGTCATGAACACTGAGAACAGCGTGTTCAGAGTGGGTAACAGAGTTCCACTCACGGTCGCCCAGACCATAACTGAAGAGGAAGACGTCGGATACGCTTCCTGTGTGGGTAACACAGTGCCACACGCGGTCGCCCAGACCTTAACTGAAGAGGAAGGCGTTGAACACGCTTCCTGTGTGGGTACAACAGTACCACACGAGGCCACGAGTGCCTCGGATGTCGTAGCGACGACATCCCTAGACGTGGGCAGCAAAGCTCCCCGTCACAGAAGCCGTCGGCAAAGACGCCGCCGCCGCCTCAAGTCGGATCCGAACTTCGTTCCGATCGACGTCGCTTCAAGCGACTCGGAGTCCAGGGCCCGGGCTCCTCCGACAAGGCCGGTGGAAGAGTGCTATCACATCTTCGATAGCGAGACGGGTTTACCCGTCAAGGCATCTGGTGTCCACTTGGAACAGTTGCCAGAGGTTGCAGAGATACTGAACCTCGAGGAAATGACGGCTGAGTCTTTCCTGGCCAACCTCAAGGCTGGAGAGATCGCTGAGATGGTACTCATAAGACCTGAGACCACTCAGGAGGAGCTGAACTCCTCCTCTGTCTTGGACGAGAACGTCCTGGAAGACATGAACAAGCAGCGTCAGGCGCGCTTGGGTTCTGAGATTCTCAAGAACCCCAAGGATCCGGTGTATCCTTTGGTGACGGAGTATGCGGACGTGATGAATAAACACCCACCGACCCAACTCCCACCGGATCGAGGCGTACGGCACGAGATTGATCTCGTGCCCGGCACAAAGTATTGTGTCACGAGGCAATGGCCTCTCCCGCGCGAACAGTGCGAGGTCATTGATGCCTTCTTCGCCGCGAAAGCGAAGGCAGGCATGGTGCGGGAGTCGAAATCCCCGCACTCGACGCCGACTTTCTGCGTTCGTAAGCCGAACGGAAAGTGGCGTCTGGTTCACGCTTATAACAAGCTGAACAACGCAACGGTGCCGGCCCAAACACCGATCCCACGAAAGGATGTGTTGTTGAACAACATGGCCGGGAGCGTACTGTACAGTGCGCTGGATTTGGTAGACGGATACTACCAAATCCTGATGCGAGAGAGTGACATCCCGCTCACCGCGGTAAGCACTCCAAGCGGCATGCTTTGGGAGTGACTCGTCATGCCGCAGGGCTTGTCTAACGCCCCGGCGACGTTCAATCGCCTGGTGACGCAATTGTTCCGCCCTTTGCGTACCTTCGTACAGACGTACTTCGACGACATTTTCGTCCATAGCCGTGCCGAGGGAGGCAAGACGGCCATGGAGGTGCATCTAGGACACCTCCGTCGAGTGTTGGACGTGATGCGAGCGAACAAGCTCTACGCCAACATCGACAAGTGCGTTTTCGCGTCACCAGAGATCAAAGTTCTCGGTTGCTTCGTAAGCAACGTGGGCGTTCGGGCTGACCCAGACAAGGTCAAGGCCATAGCAGCATGGCCGACGCCCCGATCCCAGAAGGATCTTCGAAAGTGGTTGGGTTTGGCCAACTACCTTCACAAGTACAGCGCTGGGTACGCGGGCTTCGCTAAGCCTTTGTCGAGCCTCCTTCAGAAGGACGTCGACTGGCGCTGGGAGCAAGAGCACCAGGATGCTTTTGACAGCATCAAGGCCAGTCTCCAAGAGGCCCCTGTCCTGGCTCTGCCGGACGAGACGAAGCCGTTTAGCGTCGTCTGCGATGCCTCCGATTACGCCATCGGGTGTGCATTGCTGCAGGACGACACGGCTGGACAGGAACGAGTCATCTCATTCCAGTCCAGGCAGCTCAAAGCCGCCGAGCGGAACTACCCTGTCCATGACAAGGAGCTCCTGGCAATGAAATATGCCCTTGTGAAGTTCCGTGTTCACCTTCTGGGCTCTACGCCCTTTGTGATCTACACAGACCACGCGTCCTTGAGGACGGCGACTAACTCGCCTCACCTCTCCCAACGGATGGCGAGGTGGCTGTCCTTCTTCGCGGAATATAACTTCCGCGTCGAGTACAAGCCGGGCAAGCTCAACGTGCTTGCGGACGCCCTCTCTAGGCGTCCCGACTATGAGTTGGCCCACATCACGCGGGTGACAACGGATCTATATGATCGGATACGCATGGCGTATCGGGACGATGAGGCTGTCGCGCCTATCGTCAAGTTCCTTAAGGCCGGAACGAGCGCGAAGTCCGACTGGCTCTCGTCGCGACAGCGCTCAC